CAGGAGTAGCGAGTGAACCGCATTGAAGCTGGACCTTACTGTGGTGCGGTGGTTTGCCTGCCTCAGTGATCCATTGAGCTATGCTGGGTGATACTTTTTACGTCTTCAGAGCCACTCCTGCCAGATTGGTCAATACTTAGAGGTCAGATAAACTCAGCCCCCTGGTTCTCCAGGTTGAGAGTTGGAATGAGAGTAGCTCCCTGTTCCTTAAAACGGGCTCCTTGTATCCCACCGCCAAACCCGCTGCCTTGCGGTCTGGTTGAGAACCCTAATCGTTCTCCTGTCTAGGCCTGGACAGCCTAACAGTCAGTATCCTACCTATGAAACCATCATTAAACACTTTTTTGTTGCTCTGGTCATCGCAGAAAATAATAAATGGAACCCTATCTGATGCATCGAGCAGGGTGGATAAGGGTTTAGATGCTACTGCTCAAACCTTCCGGTCTTCTTGTTCCCCCTCTTACGCCTTTTCACCCTTATCCTCCCGTTCCTACTTTCCTTTTACCCCCCCCGTTTCCAATCCCAATTCTCTGCCCTCCCTCGCCTTGCTTTGATAAGCGTTTAGCTTCTTGTTTCAACTCACATTCTCACGCGGGGCATCACTTCTGCCTTGTCGACAAGCCCATGTCTAACCAGGCGATCCACTCCAGTCTATCGGTTTCTATTTGGAGCCGTCGATCCTCCTTCATACTGACATGCCTCAATGTACGCACTTTGTCACAGATTGATCAACAGGCAGCACTTGACCCTCTCGATCGATATCTGCAGCTTATCGGAGACCCGCCTGTAAAACGAGTTCTGTGCTCACTTTGCGATCCCTTTCAGGTGACACCAGCAGCACTTCCTCATTGCGCCTATCCGGCGACGATACGGCCTCGAGCACTGGCCATGCCGGTGTTGGTATTGCCCTGAGTCCCCTTGCTGAAGCTGCTCTGGTTGATTGGACCCCAGTCAGTAGCCGGATGTATGCAGTCCGACTGGTGCTCGTTCAAAGCTTCGAAGTCACGCGGGGCTAATAGTTGTCTTTTTGTCATCGTTGCCTACGCGTCCACAATGTGTAGTAATGGTTCGGTAAAAGACGACTTCTATTGCCAACTGAACCTGCTCCTTCACCTCAGAAGAAGCACGGACACTATAGTGCTGGCGGGGGATCTGAAAACTCAAGTTGGAAAATTATTCGCTGATGTACTGCATCTGGGCGTCCAACACGGTGTAGGCTTCCGTTATGATAACAGTGAACGGTTACTTCATTTGTGTGAAGATGCTCGCTTATTTCTCGCGAGCACTAAATTCCAACACAGCACCCGCCGGGGGTGACTTGGCGGCCATCAGACTTGGACTCAAATCAATCACATTGCGATCAGTTAGCTCTGGAGAGCCTGCATCCAGAACTGTCGCTCGATTTGGAGCACATGTGTAGACACCGACCGTGCACTTGTATGTGCTGACCTGCGGATGCGTTTTAGCGGGAGCCCACGACGACGTTGTGAGCGTATTGACATCAGCCAACTGGCGAAGCCAATTGTTCTGAATGCGGATCGAAGTACGCTGACATGCGGGTTGAGTAAGCGCTCACTGTATACAGTTGAAGTTCACTGGTCTCGTTTTCACCAGACCTGACTGGCAGCGGGCAAATCCTCATGTAGTAAGTCTACTAACCAACATGGACATTGGGTCTCTTCGCGGTCTCTGGCATTTATCGCTCTCCGGCTTATTCCGGCTGGAAGCAAACACAATGAAACTCGCACAGATCTCCTGGCAAAATTCCGTGCTAGTCTGAAGAGTGACCGCGAATCCTGGTGGTGTCATCGTGTGTCAGAGATGGAAGTGGCCGCTGCCCCTGGTAACCATCGTAAGTTATTCCGTCTCATACGGGAAACGTGCAGCAGGATATCTGATGTTAGTGAAATATTTTATGACGAGAGTGGACAGACTATACACAACTTGTCAAAACCTTTGGAGCGTTGGATTGAGCACTCTTAAGGCAATTTCACCGGCCGGAATTGTAAGATTCCTTACCGGCCATTGAGCATCCTTCTCCGTATGCTGTCCCTTTTTATCCGCCCTCTCGCTGAGAAGTCGAACGTGAGACCAGACTGTTGAAGTTGAGCAAAGCCGCGGGACCTGATGATCCAAATCCAGCCCTCTTCAAATTTGGAAGACCTGTTCTTGTGGATTATTTACACGTGTTGGCAGTGAAACCTTAGAAGCAGGAAACTGTCTCAACCGACTAAAGCCGATCCGTCATAGTCCTAATTCTCAAAGGTGGCTCACGATCAGAATGCGGCCAGCGTACTGGAGCTAGTTTGATCTCCATCGCCTACAAATTAGTTGCCTCTGTCATCCTTCACCAGCTGACTGGCACTCGTGAAAGTCAGATTCGTGAAGAGTAAGCCGGGTTTCATCGAGGTCATGGAAGCATCGACCACCTCTACACTTTGCGTCAGTTGTTGGAGCACCGTCACATATATTGGCGGCTCACCCTTGTCTATCTAGACATCAAAAGTGCTTTCGATTCGGTTGATCGATGTGCCCTTTGGGATTGTGTACTCAGGAAAGGTGTGCCCGAAAAATTTATAAATATTATCCGAGCATTGTACGCGCTTAACTCGGATAGCGTGAGGACTTACGGCAAGCTGTCGCCGCCTTTCAATATAACCAGTAGCGTGAGACAAGGATGTCTGCTGTCACCTTTCCTCTTTAACCTCGCTATTGACGAAGTCATGGAGATCGCGTTCACTAGACACGACTTATATGGTGTGATGCTGGTCCCTGGTGAACGACTTCTTGACTTAGAATGTGCTGACGATATTTTACTCATATATGGAAGCTCGTAATCGTGCCAAGCTGAACTAGACAGATTAGCACTAGCTGTCAACCGCTTCGAAATTTGCTTTGCACTCTCGAACTGCAAAGCTTTCCTCTAAGGTTGGCATGGACCGCCCCCTGCACTGACCGCTGGTGGGGATCAGCTAGAAGTCGTTCAAATATTCAACTACCAGGGAAGTTGTATCAGCGCCCTTGGGATCGAGGATGAGATCACGAACTGTATAGCAGTAACTAGAAACGCTTTTGCTAGTCTTCGCCACTTATGGCACCGGCGCGACATCACTCTCTCTCTCTCTCTCTGAAGGGTAGTGTACAATGCAGCCGTACGTTCGACTCTGCTGTACGGTTGTGAAACCTGGCATTTTAGGTCAGCCAACATAAAGAGACTAGTTACGTTCAACATCGGTGCCTTCGCAGTTTAGCTCACATCTGGTAAGAACACCGTGTGTGTAATGAGCGTGTTTGTCACCTTGTTTACGGCACAGGAAAAAAGTTGAACCGCTCAGCACCGTTGTTTTATGCACCAGGCTCCGATAGTTTTTGCCACGTGTTGCGCATGCAAGCCCACCGGCAGCCGCGACGTGCGTTATTTGCGCGCCGGGGGTGTGGATGGAAGAAGAGTAGAGGTGGCTAAGTGATGACTAGATCGAGAGGAATGAAGGCCCTCCCTTCGAAGCTGGCCTCTGTTGGAGCGTCTCGAATCCTTGGTTGGGGTCCGAAATACGACCACGTTTGGCTGGATTCACTTGCTGATCTGGCTAGGAGCCGACCTCAGTGGCAATTGTGTTGTGAATTTCTTTGTCCCTCCTCCTGCTTAACCTCCTTGCAATCACGGTCTCATTTCTTAACATAATATACTTTACACAATAACTTTTTGTTGCATTGTAGGTGGCTGGTAGCTTTTCGGAACGATGCCCATCCGTTACTGATAGATTAGTTGGCATCCATATGTTGCATTTTTCCCCATTTTTTTCTTTTATGTATTGCGGCACAGTAGCTGAGGTGTTTTCCACCTGCTGCTAACGTGTACAATGATGGTGATAATGAGTGAACCGCTCAACACCGTTATATCGCGCACCAAACTCCGATGACTAGACCAATTGGTGTGCATGCTATCACCGACTTCTGCGACGTGCGTTATTTGCACGCCCGGCTTGTGGATGGAAGAAGAGAGGCCAACCGATGACTTGGTCAATAGATATGAAAGCCCTTACTTCCAACTTGGCCTCTATTGGAGCCTCTTGGCTCCCTAGATGGGGTCCGAAGGATGTTGAACACATTTGTTTGGATACACTTGTTGATCTGACTAGGAGCCGACGTCAGTGGCGTTTGTGTTGTGAGTTTCTTTGTCCGCCCCTCCCGTTTGCTTTTCCTGTCCAATTACCTTCTCATACCTGATGCGTAATCTGCTGCAACGGGTTATTATTTGTTTTGTATTGTTTCTCTGTATTTTTTTCCATGTATTTCCAAGTGTTTCATTGCCGCACGGTAGTCGACATGCTTCTCACCTTTAATCTACGTGTAATAATCATAATGTTGATGTTTTTATTCGCCCAGCACTCTTTTTTCTCACGCTTTGTGTTGCTTTCGTGCGGTGGTCGAAAGAATTACGTGCTTGACTTGTTGACTTTTGATTTGATGTCTATCGTTGTATTTGGGTTCGAATGGTTTCCTTTTCTTTCCTCTTATTATGTTCCCTTCTTGCGATCTCTCCTGTACTATCGTGTCCGCAGTATTTACTTTAGCTGAATACTCTGTTAGTCGCGCTTGGTTCTTACTTGAACTAGTGAACTCATCCTGTTACTCATACATGACAATAGCAGTCTATTGGCCAGACATAACACCCGAATACTTGTTAATCGCAGTTTACCTCTTTCTTACTTTCTTAGTACCTCTTCTGTTTAACCATCCAGCTTGCCCAAGTCCTCACAGTTATTTCCCCTTCGAAACTAACATGTCGTTTGAGTGGACTAGTTCGTGGCGTGGTGTTTCTTTTCCGAACCTGCAGGCTTTACCCGCCAAGCTTCTTTTCTGGCGCTGGCAGTGCGTTTAGGATAAAAAGCCTGTGGGATGAATCAGGTCTTTTGTAAAATGAGTATCTTGCCCATATTTTACCACTTACCCAATAGTATGTTCTCTCCATTTCACCCACCCCCTCTACTACGACGCAGAGCTTCTTGGGGCTCGGTCAGAATGTGGACATCAGGATTGCACTACACGAGGAAGAGCGTAAAAAACAAGAGGTGAAAACGGAAGATGGCCATGTATATCCCCTTGTGGTATACTATGACGGAGAAACGGTGGCGGGCAATGTTTTGATCGGGATGAAACGAGGCAGCCGGTTGGAGCATCAAGGGATCCGGGTCGATTTCATTGGCATGATTGAATTCTACTCGGATCGCGGCAGCCATGATGAGTTTATCTCATTGAGTCAAGATCTAGCTCGCCCTGGCATTCTCTCACAGCCAACCACATATCCGTTCGAATTCGTCAATATCTCGAAGCCACACGAAAGCTACTGTGGCACGCATGTTCGTCTGAGGTAACGTTGTATGCATCATCGCCTTTTCATTATCCATCACCTCTAGGTACATCCTCAAAGTCACTATTCTGCGTCGATTGACCGATTTAACCAAAGAACGGGAACTACTGGTTCACACCTTCACCAAGCCCCACGAACCAGACGAGAGTATTCAAATGGAGGTCGGAATAGAAGACAGCTTGCATATAGAATTTGAGTACAACAAATCAAAGTATGCACTTTGGATTAATCATGTTATGCTCCTTCAGATATCATCTCCATGACGTGATCGTGGGGAAAATATATTTCCTTTTAGTTCGCGTGAAGATTAAAAATATGGAACTGCAAATCATTAAAAGAGAAACTGTCGGATACGGTAAGTGTTGTCTTTGTCCTATTCGATGCTTGTGTGCTTAAGGATTAAACGCCTTCAGTGACTCGGAGACTATTGCCAAATTCGAGATTATGGATGGTGCACCGGTCCGAGGGGAGTCAATTCCAATTCGACTGTTTTTACAACCGTATGCACTCACTCCCACTATGCGCGACGTGAATCGAAAATTCTCCGTTCGCTTCTTTCTGAACTTGGTGCTGTTGGACGAAGAAGATCGGCGGTATTACAAGCAACAGGTATGTTCCGATTCCGTGTATAGCAACTCCGCAGCAAACTACGGTCGCCGCGTCAGGGGCACGTTACTATTCTTCTTCTTCTTCTTCTTCTTATTACTATTATTATTATTATTGTGGTATTATTCGTTGTGTGTTCCTTGCGACACGCACCCTCAATGTGAACCGCGGTTTACATTGAATTCTTTGTCAATTCCTTCGTTAGGACCGTATCAAAAGTAGGTTACGTGAGTTTAGTTGTACTGAGACGATCTGTAAGCGTGTACTTCCGCTCCCCACCGATGTAATCTTGCCAAAACTTCGTTTGATGATTCTTACCCGGCGGTCTCGTGAATCCGTTCCGATATCGGAGTGCAACTATTCTTTGCCTACTCGAGCTTCTGCTGTTTAGTGTTAGTGCTCTCTAGTTCAGCGGGTGTCACTTATCATGGGACTTACGACAGATACTCTACACCTTATATGAATCTCTCGTATGCACTTGTCTTGTCGGTGTAATTGACTTGCACTTAGTCTGATGCCCCAACTTACACCTCGATTTGTAACGCTTTTGCTCTGGTTTACTTCCTCTCTCTCTTCTGTCTTCTACCAGCAGTCGGCAATCAAGAGTCCGCACGATGTTTACGCTTCCATGCAAGCGTTGTTAGATTGGCTAACGCAAAATCGCAAACGGGTCACCGTCTACTCATCATGCAAATTGCTATTGCAGCTTTTGCGTAGTTTCACCACCAACATTCAGTTTGTCACTGCTGAACAATTCGGAGCGGTCGTTTGTTCTTATCTCTCTAACGATTTAGTCAGCCGAATAGGCATCAACACCATTGTGGTCGGCTTTGAACGCGCCGCAGTGAGCACCGCCTGTAGGTGGAATGTTCAATATTGCACCCCCTGTGACACTGCACTTCGCGACTGATTTCGACCACCTTTGGGTTCTTTAATTAAAGATATTTTTAATATTAAGACTACTATTTATATTTCTTCATCGTGTTGCCGGCCCGTAGTCTTAAGTATCACAAGCTTGTCTTGTAATCAATCGGCGCGGGTTTGAGCCTGCGTAGGGACCGGGCGACCCTCACAATATCCTTAACTCACTTGCGGCTAGTGCTGTTTGCGTGGCAGCGAAGCGTCGGTACTACATACCGGCGTGCTGCTGCTGCCACTTCTTGATTGTGCGACAGCTTGTTCCTGGAACAGGGTCAGCTCATTAGTAAAGTATTGACCATGTTCGTGCGAGAGTGGGAGGTATTCTGGAGCGTGTCATTAAGGCATCTTTAAACACGTGGTTTTTCTTGGGGCTGAGTTTTATGCAACAGCTTCTTTCATTGGCCATATATTTCTTGGTCAATGACCATGTCTTCATGGTCATTGTCGAGTTCTGGCTCAGGATATTCCATAGTTTAATGCATAATGTCCTTGCATTTGTACAACACCTGATAGTTGCTGGTTGGCAATTCTACACGATAGCATATCTGACACAGAGAAAGGCAGTCCGAATTGGTGTTCTGGTTCTTCGTACAGTTACTGTACAAGTCTTGTTTGGAAGTCTCTGAGTGCAGTTATGTCACAGTTCCAATGTAGACAGATTGAGATATGTGTTTTCATTTCTCGGATTGTGCTTGTGTACCAAGTTATATTTCAGTCGTCGAAACCAAAAAAACTCGAGGTGAACCTGCTGACAGCGTAAGCTGTGGATTTTGCTAAACAAATGTTTAGAGAATACTCTTTCCAGGTTCTCCAGTGCTTTTCTTGGAAAACTCATGGAATCGACCAAAATATTACTAACTGCTATTTCGAGTTAGAAACAGTGCGCGCAAATCCGTTCTCATTCCACATCAGAGCTGTGATGGGACGATATCATAAGACTGTTAAAAGACCTGTTAAAAGACCCACAAATTTTTCATCGGTTATCGTCAGTGTTGCCTCTGGTCTTCTTTCTTGCTGAGGTTAGGGCCATTAACTGGGAGCCGAATTTTGTGTTCACCCGTGGTCTGAGCTGTGATACACTTTTGAGATTTCCGTTCATCTGTGTATTTGTTCAGATTGCGTTAGTGGTCATTGGTTCGCAGCAGATCTCTGCAATGCTTAGCAGAGGACACCGCGAGCAATGCTTGGTTTCTTCTCTTGAGAACTTAACATTTAGGTATTTTAATACTCCTCGCTTTGAACTGCGTCGCACACATCGCAGGTGCTGCATACATGCTGTCGCGTTCACTAGCTGTTGCCCACTAACCCGTTCCTTGTTACCGCACTGAGTCATCTTTTGAAGTGTATGACGTCTGGTCTGTCACGATCATTTTCTGGTTCTGGTACGACTTCTTGCGTGGGTTTGATTTCAATGTTAAGTTAACCACCTACTTTCCAAATCGGCCCGCTACGTTGATCGGTTCTTTTCACCTGGGTTTCTGATGCATCTTCTAAACCGACCACCTAGCTTGCGAGCACATACACATTGATGTACTAGACTGGTATGGTATCCTCTTTGGTCTGGCGTTATTGTTGGATTTCATGGGACACCTATTGTGCCCTGTTACCTCAGATGGGCCACCTCTCTCTTGTGTGGTACACCAGCTCTGGCAACTGCAGTTGTTTTCTACTAGCTTTACATCTTTACCAGCTTTTGGAGATCCTTAGAAGACTTCAGTTCCCTTGATCCAGCGTAGGACAGCTGGCTTCCCTTCATCTCTGAAAGTGCTGACCCCCCGAGAAATTATTTCGGGGCCCTCGGCACTGAGTCAGAATTATAGGGAGGATGTGACTGTAACTTACCACCACTTTCCTACAATGCTTGTATTGTGTGTTTAACTGGATTCAGGTGGTCTTTGCCGCTCAGGAGCAAAATCTATGAATCACTAAATAAAATAAAGGGTATATTCCTCGACTGTTCGAAACACACTGCAAATGATTGGTCTGATCACTGTGTACAACGGGATCGCATGAGACGGGTGATATTTCTTTGAGTTTCTTCAGAGAAATTCCTAAGCTATTCTGCAGGACTGATTGATCGGCTAAATCTTTCGAGTGAGTGGAGAGATTAATAATACTAATAAATGAGGATAAATGCAAATGTTCTAGTAAAGTAATACGGGTAGCCATTGCTTGTTTTACTCGTTTTTAGGGGTCACTTTGTATGTCATCATCATCATCATCATCATTACACGTTAGCTGGAGGTGGAAAACACCTCAGCTATTGTGCCGCAATACAAAAGGCAAGAAAAGAAAGAAAAAAAAAACAAACAAACAGTGGCATGCCCGCTGAGTCCCCAGTAACGGATGGACATCGTTCCGGAGAGCTAACAGCTGGCTGCCGTAAAAGAAAGTCATATTATGCCTAACGATTGAGATCGTGATTGGAGGGGGATGCTAAACAGGAGGGGGATGGACAAAGGAACTCACAACACAAACGCCATTGGGGCCGGCTCCTAGCCATATCAGCAAGTGTGTCCAGCCAAACGTGTTCACCGTCCTTAGGACCCCAGCCAGGCAGTCGGGATGCACCAACCGACGCCAACTTCGAAGTGAGGGTTTTCATTTCTCGCGACCAAGTCATCACTTGGCCTCCCCTCCTCCTCTTCCAACCGCACCCGCAACGCGCAAACACTGCACGTCGTGGGAGTCGGTGTGCTGGCATGCGCAAGACGTGGCCCAGCCATCGGAGCCTGGTGCGTGATATAATCGTGCTGAGCGGTTCACTCGCTCTTCCTGCACCAAATACGCGACGTCGAACACGCTCATTGCTCACGCGGTGTTCCCACCAGACATGAGCTAAGCTGCGAAGGCAGCGATGATCGAACGTGACGAGTCTCTTCATGTCTGTCGACCTGATGGGCCAGGTTTCACAGCCATATAGGAGAGTTGAACGGACGGCTGCGTTATAAACTCTGCCTTTCAGAGCGAGAGTAATGTCGCGTCTGCGCCACAGGTGGCGGAGATTGGCAAAAGCACCTCGAGCTTTTGCTATACGGTTCGTAACCTCATCTTCAATCCCACGGGTGCTAATATAGCTGCCCAGGTACTTGAATTCCTGAACGACTTCTAGCAGGTCACCACCAAGCGTTAGCGCAGGATTGGGTCCCTGCCAATCTTGGAGAAGTACTTTGCATTTTGATGGAGCAAAGCATAGCCCAAAACGATTGACAGCCAGTGCTAATCGGTTCAGTGCTGTTTGGCATGTTTGGGAGCTGTCACAGATTAGGGCAATATCGTCTGCATACTCCAAGTCAAGAAGTCGCTCACCAGGGAGTAGCTCCACACCTTCTAGGTCGTGTCCAGCGAACGCTGTTTCCATGACTTCATCAATAGCGAAGTTGAAGAGGAAAGGTGACAGCGGGCATCCTTGTCTCACACCGCTGGTGATACTGAAGGGTGGCGAGAGTTTGCCATAAACCCTCACCCTGCCCGAACTATGTGCGTACAGCGCTTTGATAATGTTTACATATTTATCAGGCACACCTTTCCTCAACAGACAGTCTCAAAGGGCACATCGATCGACTGAGTCGAAGGCACCTTTTATGTCAAGAAACACGACAACGGTGGGTCGCCAATAAACATGGCGGTGCTCCAACACTTGACGCAATGTGAAGATGTGGTCGATGCAGCCCCGACCTCGACGAAATCCGGCTTGCTCTTCACGAATTTGGCTTTCACGAGTGCCAGTCAGTCTGTGGAGAATGAGAGAGGCAAGCAATTTAGAGGCAATCGAAATCAGACTGATCCCTCTATGATTGCCACATACCAAACGGGAGCCTCCCTTGAAAATTGGGACAATGACGGAGCGGTTCCAGTCTGTCGGGACTGTCTCCTGCTCCCAAAGTTTTACTAGCAACTCGTGTAGATCACCTATTAGAGCAGGTCCACCGAATTTGAAGAGGGCTGGAGGAATAGTATCTGCTCCTGCGGCCTTATGCAATTTCAACAGCCTGATCTCACGTTCGACTTCTGCGCGTGAGGGCGCATCCAAGGAGACGGCCCAAGGAGAAGGGCGCTCAATGCCCGAAGAAAGTGATAAC